AGGGCACGACTTCTGGAAATACATGATTTTGCTTGGGAGCACATTCAGCCACGGGTGTCGCGTCGGGGGGGGATAATGGGGGTAATTACCCCCCCCCCCCCCCCCCCCAGGATCGAATAATCAAGAGAAAAATCACGATTCCCGAAAGAAAAACACAATATATTGAAAAAAATACTTTTTTTTGTTTTATTTTTGTCGCAAAACAAATAATTGTTCTGGAAAAGTGAATGACCTTGAAATTTGAAAAAAAATTCGCCTGCGCCGCCTTTGCGGCCGGATTTCAAGAAGGTGATTTAGTGTGGTTGTATAATCCAGCAAGAAAGAAAGGAGTGTCACCAAAATTGTCTTCAGCATGGGAAGGACCCTACAGAATAATCAAGAGGATTAATGATTTGGTTTATCGAGTTCAGCGCAACACCAGGAGTAAGATGGAAGTTGTACATCTAGACAGATTGACGAAATATCATGGACGTGAAGTTGATCGGGTCGATCAACCTTAAGAGGAGGGCAGTTTAACGGCATCCGCCAGTGTGTCGAGAATCCAACCTAGGTTCTAGATTTTTGTGGTGCCGTCGAGAAGGAGAGTTATCGCGTTTATTCTCGATTTCAGACGAATAAATTACGGCTATATAAAGGCCGGTATTAGTTTGTTGTTTTTTAAGTTTAAGTTTGACTGTAATATGATTTAGATAGTGATTATTGTTGGAAAAAATGGACCCAAGATTTCTGTTACGCAGCCAGAGCCGTGACAGTACTATAAAAAAAATTTTTGGTAAATAAATGGTTTAAAAAAAAAAACATATACGGTTGAAAATAAACTCAATAAAAATAGCAAATTTAGATCGAATAAACTATGTATCCAAATCAGGAGGTTTAGTTTATTAGAATATGGTACTCAGTGCCGGATTTCGGGTTCTGGGGGTTCCAGAAGACCCTGCGGTAAAATTTTAAGCGGCGGCTATCTTCAAAAATAGTACATTGTGGATTCAGGTGGAGAAGTGACAGATTCTTGGCCGATGGTGTAAGTTGACGGGCGAAGCGCAGCCGAGGCCGGCAAACACCGTAGGCCGAGAATGTGCTTTTCCTCCGAAATACATATACTATTTTTTCTGCGATCGATCAGTGATGAAAAAATTAGAAATCTTTTGAAATAATGAGAAATGGTATTTGGTATTCTGATATATATTATTAGTGTGATTTATGCAACTCTGAGTGCATTCAGCTTTCGTACAGGGTGATTTATTATAAATCTCACCCCTCCTAACTTCTTTATTTGACATTTTTGACAGAAGTGTCACATTCAAAAGTTTCGAGAAGTTGTCAAAAGTTTTAAATAGATCAGTTTTAAGCATACAGGGTGCGACAGAAAAGTGTAGCAGAGCAAAGTTGTATTTTTTTGAATAGAAGTCGGGTGGGGCACGAAAAACTTTCCACCCAGGTTTTCTCAGGTGTTAGGTGTTTAATCGAAAATCGCTCAGACATGTCAATTTTTGTTTTTGGGGGGACACATTTTATTGGTTTTTTCATCCCCTACCTGTGAACCTTCAAGTGGGGGTGACAGGTACCCACTAAATTTCAAATGAGAAGGGGGGTCGATTGATACGTCATTTGATAGCTATTTTCATTAAGATTATATCCCCGAAGTTTCAAGTTGCTACTATTTACCCTGTCGAAATGGCGGCTTGCCAAAGTTAGCAAAAATCAATGGAAAAATGCTATGTGGTGTTTACCTGTTACCTACGCATAGGTGTGGCAGGTAAAAACTATACAGCTTAGATTATCGAATGTAATACCACAAGAGGTTTCAGGATTACCGGATAATACTTTTAGCTATCACGAAACGCGTTACGCAGCAACACCACGACTCCGAAGGAGGAGTGGTGTTGCTGGTAACGCGTTGAGTGTCAGGTAAAAGTATTAGGTAATCCTGAAACATCGAGTGGTATTCAAAAGGTTATACAACGAACTAAACTTTAATACTTTAAAATTTAAAAAAAAAATCTATAATAGAATTTGCCATAAATGCCACCAAGCGTGATAATCCCAAAAGGCTTATCACTTATTAAGCCTCTCGTGTCATATGGGAATAATGTAAAGTGAGTTGTATAACCGAAAAAAAGCATTTATCCTAATTTTGACATGCCGCCATTTCGGCAGGGTTAATAGTAGCAACTCAAAACTTCGGGGATATAATCTCAATGAAAATAGCTACCAAATGACATATCACTCGACCCCTCTTTCCATTTGAAATTTTGGGGGTACCTGTCACCCCCACTTAGGGATTCACGAGTAGGGGGTGAAAATACCAATAAAATGTGTCTCCCAAAAAACAAAAATTGACGTGTCTGAGAGATTTTTTATTAAACACCTAACACTTGAGAAAACCTGGGTGGAAAGTTTTTCGTGCCCCACCCGGTATATTGACTCTTATTATTTATTAGTCCCCTTCAACCATATACGGTTTGATATGTTTATCTCTCGGTTTATCTTAAATAGTTATAGGGAAAAATGCGAAAATCCCTTCCTAGGTTCCATGTTATTTTTTTTTTAATAATAATAATAGCTTAAGATAAAGATATCTGGATTTTCAGCTTGTAAATTATTGAATAACATTTGAACAATAAATTGTTTATAAACAATTCTCTCTAAAGCTTAAATGGTATAATTTTTCTTTCTTTAACATGAGACTTTGAAAGAGGTTTTCATGTTTTTTCCTATAACTATTGAAGATACACATATCAAACCATAAATCGTTGAAATCAGGTCGAAGGGGACTAACAAATAAGCGCACAATATACATGGTGTTGCATTCAAAATAATATAACTTCGCACTGCTACACTTTATTGACGCACCTTGTATATTCAAAGTAGTTAAAAACTTTTGACAATTTCTTAAAACTTTCGAATTTGATACCTTGCTTAAAAACGTCAAATGAAAAAGTTAGAAGGGGAAGACATTTATCATAGATCACCCTGAACAAAAAAAAATCTCAATGTGGATTCCTATAATAGAAAAAGTATAGTGCGTAACGTGTGTGAAAAGCACTTTTTACACTCGTGGGGTTTTGTGCCAAACGCCTCCGGCTCGTGCCACTAAACTTCCCCACGCGTGTGAAAAGTGCAATTTTCAACAATTGCTGCACAATATACTATTTTACACTCGCTCGATTCGCAACAAACTGGCACGGCCGTCGTGCGAAAAAAATCATTTTCAAAAGTTAATATTTAAATAACTATTTCGATTCTGTGAAAAAAAAAATAGCTATTTACCTAACAAGTGCGGAAAATGAATTTTTCCGCACGCGGCTGCCGTTCACCGAACGACGCGTAGTGCTGAGTGCGGAAAAGTGTAACTTTGCGCCCGGAAATGCGTGCGGAAAAGTACTACTTTGCGCACGCTCGTAGGAAAATTATATTTTTACATTCAACTTTTTGTTTTTTTTCTGTAATGGGGTAGAAGAGGCGGCAATGCGATAAATCTGTACCCGGCGGCACAAGGCCTAAATCCGGTACTGATGGTACTTGTCCGAACGAAATCATATTGTACAAACAGGAAGATCTTTCAAAACAAAGAATTAGGCCGGATTTACCCAATTCCTCAATTCTTAATTCTTAAAGAGTTCAATTTATTTAACATTGATGTTTTTAAGGATTAAGAATTAAGAACAGAAATTAGGAATAAAGGAATTGGGTAACCCCGGCCTTAAAGAACATCAATCATCAATCTAGCTTCATGAGCAATGACACTCTCAATATGCATTACATTTAAATTTAGATAATATAATGACTTTGCCTCAGATTTTAAGATTTTGCACAAAGAAACTAAATCCAAGAAATAAAATTATCATGGAAATAAATGAAAGGGAAAAAGTCTGGTATATTATTGATTGAAAATTTAATTGTATGCTAATAATTGCTCTCCATTATTAAATTTTTACAAGAACATAATTAACATTATATTTTGTCCAGAGTTTTTGCCCCACTGTTGTTATTTCTTTTATATCTTTATTTTCTACTTAACTATTATAAATCCATAATACCTAAGAAATGAAATACGCTAATATACCTATAACAACCTGAGGGTATTAGGGCATTATAAGCCCAGCGGGCGTTATGATCAATAACGCCCGCTTATAATACCCTGCTGAGGTGTTTTTGTTGTTGTTGTTTTATTAATTTGCACTTATCTTAGGCAGCCACTAAATGTACGACCGAAAAGAATTTTGGGTCTGGCCAGGCTTCGAACCCGGTCTAATGGCAACGCTTTCCATGTAGTCGAGCGCGTTAACGCACACGACCACCGTTGCCTTGCCTTATGAGATGCTTATAGGTACTTAAGTATAATCATTTATTTCGTTTCTAGGTACAGGTACCATCGTCACCAAAAGTAACTGGGACAGCATCATGTTATCTCTTGTACTATTATATGATTTTAGGTGTCAAATATTTGTCAAATTATGAATTAAATGCATTGAAATGAATGACAGTAGACTTAGTCCAGGAGATTAATATGAATTATTTTTGTCCCAGATACTTTTGGTGACGATGGTACATATCAAAATACAAAACAATATTCTGTCACACAAGTTTAACTGATTTTGTTTGATACTAAATTGATGAAAGAACATTGTGCTGAGTAGAAAATAAAGCATTGTATGCACCACGGGGATTTTTAGATTATAATGCCCTTCAGACAAAAAATATCCCTCGGGCCAGAGCCCTCGGGCAAGTTTCGCCTTCTGGGCATTATAATCTACATAATCCCCTTGACATAAATAGCTATTGAGTACATACTTTTTAATTAGGTATGTTGTTAACCTGCTATTTTGTAAAATTCTAGCTTAGCATATTAGTTTAGTTATTCCGTTTGAAGTATGCACCGTGTGCTGAAACATTTACGGTTTCATTCAAATGAAATTGTTGAAATCTAGCAACTTTTTTGTTTCCTTTCAAAATTAGGATATTATTAGGTAGTAAAAAGTGAAAAGCCTAATACTTACTCTTCCGATCTCTGAGACATGTTGTCCTTATCCTTGTGGGCCTGCCCACTGCTGCACGAGTTCCCCATGATGCTCTGAGTTTTATAAAAACTTCTGAAGTCCAAATACTAGCGTTCTCTGTTCGTGGACCTTAAGGCCATTTTAACGCGCACTGTTTACAATTCCGGCATTATGTTTAGTAGTTTATTTTTTGATGAAGCATGTCTATACCTACTTAAAAGACAAGGCTCTATTTGACATTCACTTTAACAATAAAAAAAATTCAGTATTGGTATGTGGGTAATATCACTACCTATCTTAAGTCAAGTCTAGTTAGGGCCAGGATAGTACTTCAAAACATAAAGTCAAGTATTTTTATTTCTAGGTAAGCAACACTAGCCAAGAAAAGAAAGGCCTATCCCTTCTGCTGTATCCTTATTCTTGAATCAGAGGAGCAGCGTTCCCAGGAGAACGAGTGTTCTGTCTTTGTTAGTTATATTATCATTTGCATATCAATGAAAAAGACGGAACACTCGTTCTCCTGGGAACGCTGCTTCCGTGTTTCAAGAATAAGGACCCTGGTAAGTTCACCGCCAAAGGGACTCCATTCGAAAAAAGAGGGGTCCCAGGAACTTCTTCACCAATCAACAAGCAAGTTGCAAAAGGCCTCAACCTCGTGGCAAATTTTTATGAGTAGTCAGCAGTCTCGCCGTAAGGTCTGTTATCTAAAAGTGTATCACTCGGCTTATCCACAAACAAAAAGGAAACATGAATATGAACTTTCACGGAAAATAGTCACAATCTTATGCCATTCTTTCCATTCGCATTTATCAAGAAATTTACATTTAGATAGGGCAGTGTCAAAACTAAGAATGGTGGCCTTACCTCTAGAAGTCCTTTTCTAGACATACAATACTTTATAAAAATACCGCAACTTCAATCGATATGATGAACAAACTGGCCCTCTAAATTCAATTTAGTAGAATTATTTATTATCTAATGATCTATTTGAATTAAATTTTACGTCAATACGTCATTAGGAGAACAAATTATGGAATGTATGAAAAGGGGGATAATTTAATAGCTATTTCTAAAATGTTTCTTCATGGGGAGACAATAGGTACAATTAAAGTGTTTTCCTCGCGAAAAAATCTTGAGCTAGTTTTGGGAAAAAAATAAAAAACCAGTGCCATAACATTTTTTTGATAAACTAAATAAATACAAATGTATTATCTTATGGACGCCGAATGTATCTAAATCTTTTGAACACATCTAGTAAAAAGTAGGTACCTACTCAGAGATGGCGTTAGGCGTTAGAAGTATAATTGGGAGAATATAAGAGTTGAGGATACGTTTATAATAAGAGGTACAGTTGGAAACTCCTTTTCTTCATTATACTGGAAGTTTATATATTGATTATCGTAAATGAGAAGATCAGCAATCCTTTGTTTCATCCTAATAAACCCCAACAAGAATAAATTGAAATTACTCATCTACTGCAAGCATTGTAGAATAAAAAATAAAAAAGATTTGACACCCTGTATAATTAGATATACGAAACACTCTAAATCCCATGAGCTTTATTTCACTTTTACTTGGAAAACACTTCGTATTGTAAGTATCTTATTGGATCAGTTCAGTGAAGCGTATTACGCGCAAATTGAATAGAAGATTTTTTTTGTACCGTAACATATTTTCATTACTTTTTATTTATTTTGTCTTTTTAAGTGAATTTAAGAGAAGGATCAATAGAGAAATTACCATTTAAAACAAATTGATTTTAGCTTGTTTTTTTTTTAAATTAACATTTATCATAACAATTATATCAATAAAGCTTGCAGCTGCAAAATGTGCTATAAAGAAAACTTCTTCTCTCAAACAACAAAAACTTTTTTTTTCTAAATCCAATAATTTTATTTAGAAACTTTCTCAAAAAAGTACCTAAGTATGTGAAAATCTGTGTTGTTTATTAGTCGAGAGCCAAACTTTTCAGGGTATTTAGATCGCCACAGATATAGGTAGTCACCTGGGATTTAATTAATTTATGAAATAGATGCTACCAAAGATAAGCTAAATAATTATTGTCAAATATTATTCATATCAAATCTCTAATAGAAAAATCAGTGAGGGGAAAAAATCAAAATAAATCTGTCACGTACACACCACAACTACTTTTGCTACCCTTCCGGAGTCAACTCGTGAAACATTTGCCTCACATCACCATAATCACCCAAACTGGAACTTTCATCAAATACACAAATAGTTATTATTATTATTTTTTATTTATTTCGCGTCCTCAACGAAAAATTTCAATCGGTTTTCCGCGGTCGAGAGCGAACGAAAATAAATATTTTCCAGTGGTCTAACGTCGGGTTGGCATGGCGGTGTGACGTCAGTGCGCGTCGCGACGCTCCTGCGGGTGAACGACGACTCTCAACGGCTTGCTGGGGATCGATTCGGAAAAGATGTGACCAACCCCTAAACTGTTGCTGGAAAAGTTCCCTAAATTATACATAAAAGGGTGGTATTTCAGAATCAAATAGACGAAACATCAATTATTCATAATTCTTTTGTTCAACTACACTGAATAATTTTGAATTTTTAGTAGGTATATTTTACCTTTAGCCATCTACTTTTCGTCTTTTCAACCCTGATTTTTTAAAATTTTTAACTAATAGTAATGCTGGTGCAAAACAAAAAAAAAAACGATGCTTTTCAATCCTAAAATATCTTTGCCACAAATAATAGCGATTATTTTCAAAACTCTATTCTAAAACAACTCCAGGTTTTTTCAATTTTATCCAGCATTGTTAATTTTTCAAAAAAAAAAAACAGGACCCTAATTTGAAGAGCATAAAACTTCCAATATTTTGATGTACCTACCTATACATATACCTATCTTGTTAACATCCGACCAAAAATTATTATTTTTGTGCAACCATCCGTAAAATGAGCTTTCGCGGCCGCCACACAGTCCGCGAAATTCAATTTCGCGGCCGTGGCCCTTGGTGACGGCCGCGAAACTATAAATCAAAATTTGACACTTTGACAACAACAGGTAAATTTTATTTCCAAATTCTTCAGAACAACATAAATTATTTAGGATAAATATTAACACTTACGTGACAGTTTGCATTATTAAGTACTAATATTTACTCCTGAAGCTGAAGCAACTAATAAACCAGTGTTTTTGAATTGAACTCTCAAAACTTCCCATTTCTGCATTAAATTAGCCAATATATTTTCAGACATCATTTTGACGTTTTGTTTGTCACACCAATTTTTTGAACTCACAGTAACAATTTTCCTATTGCCGCTTAGTTTTCCAGGTATTAACTCAGAAATAGCTGATTAAACCATATTTTTTTAGCTCTGTAGGAGTGCAAGAGAGTGAAACATCTGTATCGCTGTCGGATATTTTCACGATTTTTTGAGAACTTCCAAAATTTTTTGTGTATTTGTTTACTTGCAAAATATGTCATCCATGACATCCATAGAAATGCTGTGCCACTATAGCCACCAGGTTATACATCAAACTGATAATTAGTTCCACATGTTTGTTGAAAAGACTACATTTTTTCTGTAATTCCACATAATTTTCATGGTTGCACAAAAAATAGTGTGTATACCATGACCGCGAAACTTTTTAGCGTCCTCGAGATTATCTTGCCTCGGCCGCAAGCGGCCTCGGCGATAACTTTTCTCTACGTACGCTAAAAGGCACTTCGCGGCCTTGGTATACAAATAACTATTGTAAAACTACTACCAAAGCTGTGTTTGACACGTTAACTTTAATTTTGAATATCCTAGCTCCCAGAAAATCTTGATTTAAAACTTGGGTCAAATGATAAATCATTTCTAAGGTCTTTCGAAACTTGCTAAAACTCCCAATTTTGAAATACTGTTTGTTGAAGCTAATAACCTTTCTAGTTGAAGCAGGCAAGCATTTCCATTTTCCATTTCCCTATGTATAACTAGCATAGGATATTATTCTGAAATACATTTGTTAGCCAATAAAAAGTCATACAAAATTTCAATACATTTTTTTTTTTTTTTCAAATATTTCTTTCTCATTTCTACTTCTAAAACAATACAATGCAAAAAACAAAAAAATATGAAGAGCTTGAAGCCAGTGGATACATCTTCGTACCATTCAGTGTTGAGACAATGGGCCCCTGGGGAGAAGAAGCAAAATCTCTTATAAATAAAATAGCTAAATTAATAAACAACAAAAATGCTCGCTGTTACATTACTCAACAGATTAATATTGCAATTCAACGTGGTAACGCAGCTTCAATACTTTGGACCATTCCTGAAGATTCTGGCTTGAAAGAAATTTTTTACATCTAGCGGTATTTTTTGGGCTTTGGCCTTTTTTTTATATGTAGGCTTTGCCTCCAGGATATCAATTTATATTGCATGGACCAGCAACACGGGAAAAGGTAGTTGACAGCAGTTGTCCCACAGACAGATAATTTCATAAGTTTGTCAATTTACATTCAATTTTTCACAATTAAAAAGTGGATATTACTGATTACAGAGTGAACTTTTATTTAAAATTTTTGATAAACTCGCTAAGGCCTCCTACAAACTTCAGAAGTGGGATAATGGATGGATAATTGTGAGAATTAGTGGGACAAAGAAGCCGATTTGGTTTGCATTTTCACGGCTAGAGCCTAGGTGCAAAATTATGGTTTGCATCTTCATGACTACCGCCTAAATTTATGAAAAAAAAATGCAGGATCGACTTCAAGTTAATGGGAAGAATGTATGTATTTATTTCCACTCAAAAGTGGCCTGGTGCAAAAACCTAGAGCTGTCCTCCGACGAAATCAAAGAACAAGTGGCTATTGGATTGTGGTCGAAAGAACTCAGCATTTTCATTATGTCCAAAGCACATATTGATGAAGACTCTCTTTTTCAAGACATTGGTGAATTATGAAAGAACAGTTAGTGTCCGTAAAAATCGTTTCTGATGAACGTGTTCATCTTTGTGATACTTGAATTGAAATGGACCTTATGTCCCCAAGATACCTTATACCTATATACAGGGTGGGCCACTGAAAACTTACAATGGCTATAATTTTTGAACCAAAAAAGATATCAAAAAAATACGGTTTTTATAAAATCAAAGCACAATACACATGACATATTTTTCAAACCACCCCGACCTACCCCTTAGGCGCCACCCCTACTCGCTTCAAAATCTTTAATGGCAACACCCCACTTGTGGCACCTTTTTGGAAAGCTCATGAAAAATGCTAAACGATGGTCATAAAATTTTTAGGGTGACATTGGAAAACTACCAGTCAAATGAAAAAAATTGGTAGAAATAAATTTTACAAAAAAAAAGAATTTTTAGCATGAAATTAGAGATAGGAAATTGAAGCGACCCAGCTAAATTCAAATTACGTATTTTTCAAATCACTGCGACCCACCCCTAGGCGCCACCCCCACTCATTTCAAATTCTAAGATTGCGGTACCCTACTTGTGGCACCTCTATGGAAAGCTTATTGAAAATGCTAAACGATGGTCATAAGGATTTCAACCTAAATTAAATTACGGCTAAGTAGTGATTAAGAAATGTAGGTGTGACATTTTGAAAAATAGGAACCAAATTAAAAATGATCTAAATAGATAATTTATTTTAACATTTTCCACCAATCCACAAATAAGAAGTTCCGGTAACGCAAATTCTTCCTTATCAGCTATTTGTTTACTTTTCTATAGCAACCCGACCCACAGCAACAAAAAAAAAAAAACAAAATGCATTACTTACTGTCTTCTATCATTTTTCAAATCATTATTTTGCAAATTTAGTGACGATAGTTTCTACCTTTATTTAATTTACTTAGTTAAAACTTCGAAAAATGGTTTATAGTGTGGAAGAAAGAATTTAAATAGTTTTTCTTTATGGTGCTGAAGGTAGGTGCTATTTGAGAACAGCCCGTGCTTTCAATAAGAGAAATCCGGACAGAAACGTTAGTCACATTTCTGTTAGGGATTTGATCCAAAAGTTTCAACGAACGGGATCGGTCAAAAATCAAAAAAGGGTAGGGCCCAGGGTACTGAATGAAGAAATACAAATCGAAGTTATTGGTCAGGTGTCGGTCAATCCAGAAGCATCAACGCGCCAGTTGGCATCAATAACAGGCATACCCCGAACATCTGTCAGAAGAGTATTAACAATGCACAAATTCCACCCCTACAAAATGAAAATTCTGCAGGAACTTGGGGACGATGATCCAGATAGAAGGATTCAGTTCTGTGAACTAATGACGGAGGAAATTCGAAGGCAACCTTCACTCACTAAAAATGTTTGTTTTAGTGATGAGTGCTCGTTTTTGCTAAATGGAAATGTGAATAAACAGAACTGCAGATACTGGAGCGATGAGAATCCCCATATTGTTGTTGAAGGACATACCCGAAATCCTCAAAAGCTCAATGTTTGGTGCGGAATACTGGGCGATAAAATAATAGGTCCATTTTTCATCGACGGAAATTTGACGGGTGCTGTTTATGTGGAAATGCTGGACAATGCGATAGAGCCGGAAATTGTAAATGAGGTTGAAAATCAAAGAGATTTGGGAGGAAATTTGAGTTTTGATGAAGACATCATACACTTTCAGCAAGATGGAGCCCCTCCGCATTATGCTATTGTCACAAGGCGGTGGTTAGATAGATTTTATCCAAGGCAATGGATTGGCAGTAGGGGTCCAATCGAGTGGCCGCGAAGGTCACCTGACCTCACTTCTTTAGACTTCCTTTTGTGGGGTTACATTAAATCCATAGTCTACAAGACAAAACCAGCTTCGTTGCAAGAATTGCGGCAGAGGATAATTGAGGCATGTCGAAACATTCCGAGAGAGATGTTCCAGAAAGTGAGAGAAGAATTTGAAAGTCGTTTGTTTTTTTGTATGGAACAAAACGGCTGTCATTTTGAGCAATTGTTAAAATAAATTATCTAGATCATTTTTAATTTGGTTCCTATTTTTCAAAATGTCACACCTACATTTCTTAATCTCTACTTAGCCGTAATTTTCTTAGGTTAAAATCCTTATGACCATCGTTTAGCATTTTCAAATAGCTTTCCATAGAGGTGCCACAAGTGGGGTACCGCAATCTTAGAATTTCAAATGAGTGAGGGTGGCTCCTAGGGGTGGGTCGCAGTGGTTTGAAAAATACGTAATTTGAATTTAGCTGGGTCGCTTCAATTTCCTATCTCTAATTTCATGCTAAAAATTCTTTTTTTTTGTAAAATTTATTTCTACCAATTTTTTTCATTTGACGGGTAGTTTACCAATGTCACCCTAAAAATTGTATGACCATCGTTTAGCATTTTTCATGAG